GATAATCGGTTTTGTTGAACTTATGAAGTTGTAATGATGACGAGGTCTTGGTCTTCTATGATGTGTAAATATCGTAAATTTGTTACTGGCACATAAAATTTCTTGTACCTTGTATCTGTTGTTGGATTTTGTAACTATTTGTTACATAAAATTTCTTGTACCACAATGTTAATAAATGCAAAAATTCTTTTATAGTACAAAAAACAAGTACCTAAATGTAAAACAAAAAAAATTTTTGAATTAAAAAATTAAAACGAAAGATTTTTTTCCCTGAAAGTTTGGGCCAAAAATATGGGTGCACATTATACATGGGAGCACATTATACATTGCAAAATATGGTAAATGCCTTTGGATGGGAGTTATGATTTTTGTTTCAAGAGCATCAGCTCCAGGTCCAGCCCTCATGCTCAGTTCCTTTTAAGCTCTGTGGCTCCGTCTTTCCCACCATCCACGACCGTATCTTTCTCTTTACCTTCTGAATTAGTTACCCAGTCTTTGTGCTCCACATTGAATCCTTCTTGTAAATCCAGAATCCCTCCTCTCTTCCATCACACCCATTAGGATGGCCTGCCTCGCATCTTGGGAAATGGCTTGTTTAACATTGCTGAAGCCAATCCCTAGCTAAAATAAATTGCAGCAGGATCCTGCAAACAGCCAAGTATAAGATTGTCTCCCTCCCAATTCAGCAGTGGGCTTTCTCTTGGCAATAATGTGGAACTCGGTTTCATATATCAGCTAGGGGAGTGTTAAATGGATGGCTAGCTCACTGCTGGCAATCAATACATGTTAATACATAGTAAACAAATGGCTTTCTATGGGATGGTCAAGCGTGGTGATTTTGCAGACAAAAAGGATAAAAGGTTGTTCCTGGGGATCTTGTCTAAGAAAATCATTTTGGGGCTCAAGTAGGATCCTTCCCAGGTGGGCAGAAGTGACATTTAATCATCATGAGAATTATCGTTGTTAAAAATCATCTTTTTTTTTTTTATTTGTGTGTTTGTGTGCATGTTCAGAAAGAAGATAAACCCGAAAAAGTCCAACCAATCGCATCATCTACCTTGATCCATTCCGACCTGACATCTGTTTATGGCACCGTTGTAATGAACAGGACTGTTTTATTCCTGGGGACTGGAGATGGCCAATTACTTAAGGTTGGTTCTCTATGCCTTCTTCAATGTCGATTTTAATAGTGATCTATTTTGTGCTTTTTAATTTTTTGTTATATTTTTATTGCTTCTGGGTTATATACACCACCACACCAACTGCTTTGTGTACTCCTCAGTGACCCCCAGAAATGGCCTGAAAGAAATTTTTAGAAATCTGTAATAACCTCCCTAGCCATGTAACAACGCATCCAGCACCTTGTTTCCCAGCATGTGCAAGGCTATTTCAAAACCCTTCCTTATTCATAAATTGCCTGGGTGAGGTAAGGGGGCGGGGGGTCTGGCCTCTACCCCATCCCTGACTCACCTCCTTAAGACATTTAACCTTTTGGTTCTCTCCTTTGTAATGGAAATGTACAAAGCACCTGATTTCTCACAACTTCAAGGAGATGAGAGATTATAGGGCTTGAAAATCAGGGGTGTGTGTGGGGGGGACAGGTGTTCCTCCTCTCCAGCCCACTTGCCACCCACAGAGGGGGTTTGTTTTCTGCCCTTCGTACCCACAGAAGTTAGAAATCTGAAATCCTTTGAGACTACTCTTGAATCTCCAAGGGCTATATTTTCCCACTGTATGGATGCACCCACTGGTCAAGTTGAGATTTTTTATTCGGTTGGGGGAGGGGCAGTGGGAAGGAGAAGATAAAATCAGATACCTAATGAATTGCCTGAAATTATATAGTGGAGATCTCACTTTCATTAGCAAGCATTTATTGAACACTGGAGGCCTCCACCAACAATTGTGGTTGGGAACTGCACTGTTTCTGTCCCTCTAGGCCAGGGGTTCTCAACCTGTGGGTCGCGACTGGGGTCAAATGACCCTTTCACAGGGGTTGCCTAAGACCATTGGAAAACAAAAAGATATTTACATTACGATTCATAACAGTAGCAAATTGCAGTTATAGAGTAGCAACGAAAATAATTTTATGGTTGGGGGTCACCACAACATGAGGAACTGTATTAAGGGGTTGTGGCATTAGGAAGGTTGAGAACTTCTGCTCTAGGCTGATATCCCTTTGCCTCTCTAGCCAGTGAATTTGCTGTCAGCTCAGATTCTAAGTTGAACATTAGCAGATTTGTTTTCTCAAGTTATCTTCCACTGATAACTGTGTGACTTTAGGTAAATCGACTCACCTCTCTGAAACTATTCTCTCATCTGTAAAATGAGATTGTATCAGACAACCTGGAAAGCTCCTTCCTCTTCTGATGGTCTCCAGCTCTGTCTTCTGTGCACTTATCCCCCACTCTAGCCAAACCTATTTGCTTGTTGTTCTCCAAATGTGCATTGTGTAGTCGTGTCCCCACACCTTTGCTCACACCCTTCCTGGATTGCTTTCTTTCTTTTTTTCTCTTTTCTCCGTGCTTTACTGAATCCTGTGTTTCTGTGCTTTGGCTCAGCTCAAACTCCACCTCATCTTTGAGGATTCCTAAGCCTGTAGTGACCATGTTTTTCCCTCATCTCCTGAAATACTCATTATCTGTATCGTTCTTTTGGCTCATTACAAATGTCTTGCTTTGATGCCTAACCTTTTCTCTTGTGTTTGCCTAGCCTTCCTTTCTTGATTTTAAGCTTCTTGAGAAGGAGGCCATGAATTCCCAACAGCCTGATATAGTGCTGAGTGCCTGGTAGGCATTGGATTTTAATCTGTTTTTCTTTGGAGGAAACCCAGTAACATATGGGAGGGAGTTTGTTTGTATACACATTTTAAAAAAATATACATTGATCATCTTTCCTGTTGCATTAGCTTTATTTCCCAGAGAAAGGTAAACACCCACCAGTCATTGTACACAAGTTGCTGGGTGCTGTGAGGTGAAATTTGTAGCTATACCAATCTGGTCAGGCTGATTGGACCCGTAACCTGGCAGGATTTCCCTTCAATCCTTACTGGGCCTCCTCCCCAATTACTTGTTCAGATTTGGGATATTTTTCATGAGTGTTTTGACAAGAATACTGTTTCCCCAAAGCTGAGCCAACCAAACTGTTACATGGTAAATTGGAGGTGAAGGAACACTTGGCTATAAATAGTTCCCCAAAGGAAGGCCTGGTTTCACCCATCCTGTTTGTTCACCCTAGCAGCCTGTGTGCAGCTGGCCAGTTTTTAGAGGTGTCGTGGTGATGTGGGCCAAGCGAGTAGGGCCCCCCCCCCCCTCCGTCAACTTTTAAGTTTTTTCCCTTTAGAAAATTTAAGTCTCCTCCTCCCTAGTTTCTTAGCCCCTGGCTTTGATTACTCTTCTAATCAGTTTCTGAATCCTAGACTAAAGATTGCCCCTAGACTGAATCACAGAATCTCTCTCACTCATTCAGGCTTTAGATAACTACTTAAAACCTGTGACTTCCCAACATTCCCCAAACCATTCCAGACCTAACTCTTAGATAATCCCATCCCAGAGACTAAATAGGTTTTAACATTTCCCCAGGCCAGTATACTTGTTGATTGTAAACATTAAAGCCTAATGTTCTTTCCAAACCCGAAGCCACCCTACATCAGCAGCTTTGAGCTCTGCTCTTTAACAAATTTATTAATTAAAAGCTATTTTCCCTCACTTAGGGGTTTTGGAGATACAGAGGGTACCCCAGCAAGATTGCCAGTCCCAACCAAAGAAGCCAACACTGTCTTCCAGGCGGATCTCGAGACCCCTTCCTCTCAACTGAGATCAGCTAGGGTGAGAGTTCCATGAATCCCCCAATAGGCAGGGACAGCTATATGCCCCTCCCCAGCAGGAAGTAGGTACAGAAGAAAAGACCTCCTGTTCAACTTCCCTTAGAGATTCTATGGGGATCACGTCTCTCAAGGGAAAAACATGGCAGGCAGTTAAGAGGCAGGCATTGGGTCTCTGCATTCCTGCATATCCCACAGAATGCACTGCCCAAAAAACCTCCCCTTTCCACCCATAACCTCTTTTCTTCTAATAAACTCCTTTTCTAAAGAGAGGAGATCAATCAGGTGGTCCCACACCCAGAGAGGAACAGCCCATCCTAGAGGAAGAAGGGATAAAAACTCCAAGTCCTGGCCAGTCAACGCCTTTTGAACTTCCTTTTCTCCGCCAGCTCCAAACTCTTTGGAGTGTACTTTCTTTTCTAATAATGGCCCTTGAGCCATTCTCTACTGCTGGGGCCCACTTCTGCTTCTTTGAAATGTATTTTTACTTCTAATAAACTCCTTTTCTGCAACTTTACTTCTCTGGTCCGTGTCTCCATTCTTTGGTTCCACGAGACCACGACCCGGCACAAGAAATATCCTACATCAGTGGCACCAGAGTGGCAGGACAAGCTGCAGCTTCAGGCCGCTGAGGAAGAAGTGGCTGACTGAAGTCTCACTTTCCTTAGCATCTGTCAGTAGTACCGCTTCAAAAGCCACATCTGTGGCCTTGTTTTTAGGGTACGAATAACAAGGGTAGGTTGGTTTTTCTGTTTGTTTGGTGACTGCTAACATTAATACACTACTTCCTATGTGCCAGTCACTCTGCATGTTCTAGCTAATTCAGAACTCTCCACGACTCAGTGAAGTAGATATACTCTTACCATTTTACAGATGAGGGAACTGAGGTCCAGAGAAGCTGGATGATCTACCTAAGGTCACACATAGGCAGAGCAGGGATTTGAACCTGGAGTGACTTCAGAGGCTGCACTAATATCCCTCCTGACTTTGTAACCTCTGCCCCAAGCACAGGCAACCACTCCCTGAGGGTTCTCTGGGGTGGGGGTGGAGGGTTGCATGTTAATATAGGGGTTAAAATGATCATTAGCAATGGCCCCACAAGGGGAAGAAGCCACGATGCCCAACTCCAAATATTGAACCAAGATCCCCAATATTTGCTTAATTGTTGGCAGATCCTGTAAGTTCTATCTTTTAACTGTTGTGCAGCATCTCTGACTATGCCAGACTGATTCACATGAAAACAGCAATCTTCTTTTAAGAATAAGCATAGCCCCCCTCTTTCTGGCAAATTTTTTAAAGGAATGGTTAGGGACTGACTGATTATTGGGGGCTATGTTGATCTTTGGAGCCAAGTAGACTAAGGCATAGGTTTCTGTCCAACTAGCTGGATGGCATAAATAAGACCTAGGTCCACAGAGGGAAAAGTATCTCCAGCAGTTGTTTGAAGAGGAGCTTAAGGTTTTTAATTGGCTTACAGGAACAAGAGTGACAGTCTTCTTCTGGGGGAGCCCTGTGGAGACTTAAATTTACGAAATAAATTTAATTTGAGGGAAGTGGACCCAGCTACTGACTCTTTGGAGCCCAACAACAGTTGGGTGCTCAGAAGAATTGTAAAGGGTTCTGTACATATAGGAGACTTTTCCCTTTAGGTTTTTAAAAGTACTTTGTCCCCTATGCTTTTTAAGTGGCTGTTGAACCTTTCCCGGGCTAACAACATAGGAGATAACAGAGTTGAGGTTAGAATTAGTAGTTAGAACTAGGGCTTGGAGCTCTTCTGATAAAACTTTTCTAGAGTCCTTTTAAGTTAGATTTGTTTAGTTGACACTTTTTCCTTAAAGTATAGACCAACGGTAAGGAACAGGCTGAGTAAAATGAACCCAAATCCAGGGGCTTTCTTTATCTTTACAACCCAGCAGTTTTTGGAGGAAAACAGGTCCAGAGTGAGCAGTTGAGACGGAATAAATGGCTTCTATAAATTAACAGGCTTGCCTGCCACGTCAGGGTCACCCACAGTTTTGCCCTGTGATGAGAACAGCTTGGGAGCCCCTGAGAGTGTCAGGCTGTACAGTGATGGCAGCTTTTTTAGGGGAGGGAGTGGTCCCTGCTCCGAAGTGCCCTGTACTGCACAATCTCTCCTCCAGTGCCCTGTATTGCACAGGGGGCACGGCTGCTTTGGAGGATTAGGACACTCCTTATTTTAGTGGTCTGGGCTTCCACATCCAAAAAGCAGGCTCCTTTATTTGGTATTTCCTTTCCTGGGGCTTTTGGGGTGCCCTGAGGTGGCTTTAGCCCTGGGTTGTTTATAACTGTGGCCAAAAGTCTGGCTTTGTA